AAGCCTTAAGAGTACAATATCTGAACAAAGGCTGGAACGAAGTCCTCAAGGCTTATAAAGGATGTGGAATCTTTAACCCAATGGGGCCGCTAAGGCAGCCAAAGTAGAATATTCGTGAGGAAGCATAAACACCATGGGGCTACACTTAGCCACCTAGAGAGACAACGAACACAAAGAGAGTAAAGAATAACTCAGAACAACTAAAAGGAGACGATATAACTTAGAGCAAATGCCTCAGAGCTTTTATTTACTCTTCTCTCAAAGTGAGAGTGGAAAAATGATTCTGAATGATCCAAATTAGGAGGAAATACTCTTTATTTATAGTTGACCTCCATCACAATCAATGCCTAGGATCGATTTACATAAACGGCTAAGATCATCCCTATTTAATACAAAATATCCTATCTAAGGAAACTTAATCACATCCTACCAAATTACATCAATTAGTAGGAATTTTTCCTTCGATAAGCGTTCACGCTGGATATGGTAAGAATCCTCTACAATCACTATTAATTTATTATCTCTTGCCATAATTACCGAGCTCCAATAATCATCTTCACTTTCCATGTTTGCATGGCCAATGTGAACGATTATCAAAGAAAAGATTCCTACTAATTGATGTAATTAGGTATGATGAGATTGAGTTTTCTTAGATAGGATATTTTGTATTAAATAGGGACGATCTTAGCCATTGATGTAAATTGATCCTGGCCATTAATTACGAGGGAGCTCAACTATAAATAGAAAGCCTCTCCTCCTTATTTGGATCATTCAGAATCATTCTTCCACTCTCACTTTGAGAGAAGAGTAAATAAAAGCTATGAGGAATTTTCTCTAAGTTCTATTGTCTCCTTTCAGTTATTCTGAGTTGTTCATTATTCTCTTTGTGTTCATTGCCTCTTTAGGTGGATAAGTGTAGCCCCCATGATGTTTACACTTCCGTATGAGTGTTCAACTTTGGCGGCCTTAGTGGCCCCATTGGATTAAAGCTTCCGTATCATTTTGAAGTCTTGAGGACTTCGTGCCAGCCTTCGTCGATATAGTGTTCTCTTAAGGCGTGGTGTAAGGCTTACTTATGCGTAGTACCGACTAAGTACCGTCATTGAACATCTAAGACCACACATTTCGGAGGTCCAATGGTGTGACAACCGCATGTTTCCAAGTAGGAGTCTATGTGTGTGTGTGACAAGTATTATCAGAGCAAGACATTTTGACGAGATAATGAGCATCCAAGTGTGATCTGTGGAAGCCATAAACCAAGTGAGCTGAATTTACTTACTGTTTAGCCAAACTTACTATTTTGTTAAGTGTGGCAAGGCTTTACCTTTGAGCTAGTCGAGAAAGATTGAGCTATTTCGTGACAAAGAGTGAGAGATGAGGCACAAGAGAAAAGGAGTTTCTGCAAGCAAAGGCAAAGAGAGCCATAGTGAGAAACGAGAGGAGAGTCTGATGAGCTCAAGAGCATCATGGGTGTCCAAGCATGAGGATGCCATGAATAGTTCACAATAAATCCTTGAGGCAGCAAAAGAAAACCAAGAGGAGCTGGATCTTGAGGTAGAGAGGCTCAAAAGTAGAGATCAAGGAATGTTCGACCGAGACAGTGTGTTCACTCATGAATACAAAGAGAGTCTTGATGGGGAGCAAGAAGAGTAACTGACAATAGATGAGAGATGTGCTTATTTGATGGAAGGTTTAGTTTTCCATGCGAAGAGGCTCATCAAGTTGGAGGAGTCCAACAACTCTATCAAGGAGAGCATTCAAAAGTTCCTCGATGAGTTGGGTGAAAAGACTATCCAAGTGGGTGATTCCGTTAGGGTCAAAGTGTTGGCCCTAGGAAGAGTCTCAACATCGTTAGATAAGAGGGTTGATAAACTTAAGGAATACATAGAGAGGACCAAGGAGGCCCATGGTGTTGGAGAGTCCCGACTTGATAAGGTGGAGTCCATGGAGGATAGGTTCAATGACGAGATGCAACGGCTTCTCAATGAGTTGGAGAAATTGAGGGAGATGTAAAAAATTTGGGAAGGAGGGTCGATAGCTTTGATGATTCAGTGGGAGAACCCAATGATGCTCATGGTGTTGTGGAATTCTGTTTTGGAAAGTTGAAGTCCATGGATGATCAGATCAAGGACGAGACGCAACGTGTTCTCAATAAGGTATAGACGATCCAAAGGAGTAATGCTGGTGAATCCGAGGTACAGGATTTGATAGACGAAATGGAAGACCTCAAGAAGGAGTTACTTACATGTAAAGGAGAAGTTAGTGAATGTGGAATGCTCAAGGTCTTCCAGGAAGGACTTAGACAATGTTTGATGCTTTGGGTAGAGCACGGAGATGCCCAGAAACTTTCAGAAACCATAGTTGTAGCCGAGAAGCTTATCGACCTTACGGGAGTCAAACTAACTAGCATAAGGTCGTCTATGCCCATACCCAGGGATTGTGGAAATAGTGGGGGAGACTAGAAATGGTGTAGCAGGGAGATGGAGGGGAAAGCTCTTCGAGTGGCCAGTAAGTGCCACTGACTGGTTGTGGCCATGAGAAGCCATTAAGAAAGCATGGTATGGTCGAGTCCGTTGTGGAGAATAAGGTGAGTAAAAAGGAAATCAAGTGCTACTTTTGTGATGGTCCTCATTTGATAAGGGGGTGTCCCGAGAAGAATTGCCTTGCAACCATCATGAAGAGGATAAGAGAAGAGGAAGTAGCGAGAATTGGCGCGGTTGCAAGTGTTAAAGCTGCTAAGCTAGGAAAAAGACTTGGTCGGACTAAGGAGGTTAATGCGGCCAAGCAAGTAACAAGACGAGGTGTGATTGCAGATGTTGAGGTAGCGGAACCCAAAGAAGTTTGATACAATTATGAGTGTCTTAGAAGACAAATCAAGAGAAGGACTTAGTGAGATTACATATTCCAAAGCAACTGAATCAAGGAGGAAACATGGTCGACTACAAGTTCTCAAGTATTCATCCCAGGATCGAGATGTGGCAAGACTATGGGTGTCAAAGCAGTCGAGCACAGAGGAAAACACGGAGCAATGGCAAAGAATAAAGCCATCAAGCCATGGGTAAGGAATTTGCAACTAAAGTGCTACCGATGTAAAGGGCCACATAAGTTGCAAAGGTGCCCAGATCGTGCCATGCCATCAAAGGATAAGGATGAGGCCAAGAGTAGCGAGCCTATCAGACTTGGAACGATGGTGTTTGCCAAGATGAATGGGAGCCAAGTGCAAAAAAGGTTGGTAGTGTTCGAGAAGGAAATTAAAGATCTTACTGAGCATGTTCGTGGGGATAACATGGCTTCAGAGGCTGTCATTGGAGAATGGTCAAAGGAGAAGCTTCCTAAGGGTGTTCAAGCAAAGAGTAAAATCCCTTCAAAAGTAATGACTAAGGGAGGGTTGAAGGAGAAACTTGTCGAGGATGTTCGTGGGAAGAACATTCCTTCGGAGACGATGAGCCAAGGGTCGAATGTGGTAAAGCCGTCGAGGGACAAAGTAACCGTTAAGAGACCAGCCATGGGAAAAGTGGGAATTGAGCGAAGGACTTCAAGTGTGAAGTGTCAACGCAAGGACAATCAATGAACTTCAAATAAGAAGGGTTAACAAAGAGGGGGCATGGAACTTTGTAAAAGGAGTACCAATACGAAAAGGGAGCACTAAACTTCAAGTTAAAGGGGCGAATGCATCGAGTGTCATCGAACATCAAGGGAAAAAGGTTGAGGAACAATGGAGCAAAGAAATTCAATGAAGAGAGTTTAATGCATGAGGTGGAAGACTTAATAGAGAAAGAAGGGCAGTCATATTTTAGAGCAAATGCCAACATATAGGGGAAGGTACATCTTGAACACAATCCTTGTGTTTTTAAAACTGATTTTCCATGTTCAGTTGGTGTAGGTCGGGTAAGACCTAACCTTCGTTGTAGAGGAAACAAAGCTTGGAAGGGACCTTTCAGAGTTCTAAAACTAGAGTTGCCGATGAGTCTAGGAGTTTGCCCAGTGTTCAATGTTGTGGGAACATCCATGACTCTTTTGTGGGAACAAGGGAGTATAAGGCAAGGCGAATTGAGTTTTGTAGGAGGATGCTCCTACTGTGAAGATGTTCTCGAGGAGTTGGGTTGGGGACATTGATGCAAGTGTCTGACAAAGAGGTTCAAGATGGAGTATCGGGCTTGCCAAGACGACCAGACTTGGCCCATCACTTGGAGAATGTTATGGAGCCTGTTCACACTGGTCGTGCAAAAAAAAAGGAAAGTGGCATCATAATCGATGATGTTTACAGGAGCTTGGAAAATATGGCAGGGGACGATGTCATATCAAGGAGGATTATGGAAGAATCTTTCCATATCTAGTGGGAACACCTATACAAGTAAAGAATTCTACTAATTGATGTAATTAGATAGGATTGGGTTGAGTTTCCTTGATTTAGGGGATTATGTATTAATTTGGATGATCTTAGTCGTTCATGTATATAGATCTAGCTCATTGATTTATAGGGAGCTCAATTATAAATAGAGAGTCTCTCCTCCTCATTTGTAACATTTCATTACATTCATTCTCTTGAGAGAGTAATAAAGCTCTGAGACATTTACTCTATCTCTTGTGTGCTTTGTTCCTAAGTCTCTTTGTGTTGTTGCCTCTCGTAGTGGCTAGGAGTAGTCACGCTTGTGTTTGCACTTCCATACCATAGTCTAACCTTGATGGGTTGGAGTAGCCACTTTGGTGTTAAAGCTTCTGCATCCTAGAAGCCTTGAGGGAATGGTTCCAAACAAGGTGAGTTTGCATGCTCACTAGGCTTGGGTAAGGTTTACTTAGTCGCAGAGAAGACCCATAAGTGTTAAGAAGCTTCTAAGGCTGCACGTCCCGTCAGACCTTAACTCTGATATTATGACAGTTTGGGCTTGAAGGTTATGAAGGTGTGACATTAGTATGAGCCATCATCAGCATGTCTAACATCAACCTTACGAATTCTAGCTCGTCGCCTTTGTTATCTTCTACCAGCACTACATCCACAATTATGACCTTCCCTTTGTCTTCTGGAATTGCTTCTCGACATTTCTATAGGATTTTAATGCATTTTTAATGCATTCTTCATCGTCCCAATCGTGCAAAACCCACTGCAATTCACAAAAGCATTATTCATAGATTAAACATGTTATACGTTGCTGAAATGAAGGGTAAAATGTGTCATTTGGGATAGACATGAACATGTCATCTCCAACGTTTTCAATGATGTCAAATGTTGGTGCAACAGCGGAAAACATGAGGGAGATCGAAGTTGATGCCTCGAATCCCTGGGAATTGCTAACTAAAACACTCAGAGCAGTCCCATTACCTCCACCAACATCGACCAAGCTTTCAACACCATCGAACACTTGTGGACATCCTTCGAGTATAGCCGAGATCGTGTGTCTAGAACTGCAAGCCGTCGTATCATTGAAGAGTTTGCTATGACCAGGGTTTGCCTCGGTGTAGCTCCATAGATCCATCCCGTTTGCTGCTTCAAATGGTAAAATATCACCGCTCTCAAGGACTCGAACATTGAGACTATGCCATGGGTAGTAAGACTGGATTCTAACAGTATTAAGGGCACCATGGTTTTTCTCCATGTTTTATCAAACGATGAGACAATGGCGTCAATGAGAAGCCAATGGAGTGTTGGCCGATGGGTTCTTGTTTGAATACTTGATAATGGACCAGGAACCTCATGATGCAGTGAAGACGTGATGGTTTGCAGCGGAGGGTGGCAGCTAACTCGGACAGTGGCATGGGGCTTCCATGGTTTTCGATAGCATCGGCAACCCCAAGCTCAATGGCACATTTAACGACGGCCATTATTGTATATCCGAAGACATAGTTCCAAATTCTACTTCAGCTCGACCACCCATATCTCCCATCTCAATGTATATTTGTTCTCTCTTTCGAAAACTCAGTAACTTTTAGCCAAATCCTGACGATGAAAAGTTTTATTGAAAACAAATTACGATTTATCATTTATAGGAGGAAAGAGTTGGTTTGGCTATATTGGAAAATGAAGACTATAATAGTACTCGAAGTCTCATTAAAATTATTTTGATGGTCATACAACAAGATAAAGAACATGAATGGTATCTTAATTATAGGGACGGAGCTAAAAAATTATTTTGGAGTATCAAGATTAGAAAAAAATTATTTTGAAGTGTTAAATTTAAAAATTATATGAAGATTTTTTCAAGTAGATGAAAATGAAAAATAGGTATCAATTTATGATCAAACATACTAATATTTTTTAAATATGTTAATATTATTTTTTTAAAAATTAAACAAAATTTATAAAGAAATTGTTTTCCAAAATATTTTGAGGTGTCATATGACACCCCTCATAGTACATTGGCTCCGCCGGTGCTTGATTATAGAGTATTATTTTATTAAATTCACTGACTATTAAAAATTATAAAATAATCTTTTGACTATAGGGTATTACTTTGTTGAGTCTCTGACTATTAAAAATTATAAAATGGTTATCTGACAATTCATATACTCTAAACCCATCATTTTTGTTGAAAATTGATAACAATCTAAGTCATACATTAACCTAGTAACTGTGAAATGATAAAATATGATCTTAAAATCTTAAACGACAATAATATATCAGTTAACATGTTAACGTCTACCTCAGACTATCATCAATATTTTTACAAAAGAGGATGAATTTAGAATATATGAGTGATCGGGTGACCATTTTATAATTTCTAATAGTTAAGAGACTCAACAAAACAATAATCTATAGTCAATGAATTATTTTGTAACTTTTAATAATCAGATAACTCAACAAAACAACACCCTACAGTCGAAGATCATTTTGTGTATTTTACCCTAAATTTTAAACTTTAATTACAATTATTTTAAATAAATAAAATTTATAAAATATATATTTAAAATTTATTCGATTAGGTTTTTAAAAATATTTTTTTTATTACTAATATTTTTTAAATAATAAATTATTACCATTAAGAAAATAATAAAATTAATTTTCAATAGAGAAAATAATAATTGCATGCAGACGAAACTTTAAAATAATAATAACTGATATTTGTATACCAATAATTGCATACGAAAGGCTCCCTTTGCCACTTGTGGTCTAACGCTGGTTGGAACTAGATATTTTAGAATAAAAAATTAGTCTTGAATTGATAATTATAATTAAAACATTTCATATAAACACAAAAAATTAGTGTTTTGTAATTATATAAAGATCATACAATTTTTTTTTTTTTTTGAAAACTCAAATAAAGTATGGGTATAAATATATTTGACAAGGGAATCACAATAACATATTAAGCTATTAAGAGATCAATCACAATCACAATCACAATCACAAATCAGATTTAATAATCGTAAGATATCTATCTCAAAATCTGATCTGAAGGTGCAAAGTATGACATATCAACAAATTTTTTTGAAGCGAACATATTAATATAATAACAAATAAGTGACATCTTGATTAGTAATTTCGATTTAAACAACCATAAAAATTAACAAAAAAAACGACCAAACAATCGATAATAAAGATAAAAGATACTAAAAACTAAAAAAAATATTTATAAAAATAAAGAAAAATGTGTCATAAAATAAAATTATTAGAAATGGTTTTAAAATATCTAATTCCAACGAGCGTTAGACCACAAGTGGCAAAGGGACCGTTTCGTATGCAATTATTGGTATACAGTTACTATTATTTTAACGTTTCGTCTTCATGCAATTATTATTTATTATTTTCTCTATTGAGAATTATTTTTTTTATTAATTTTTAATGATAATATTTTATTATTTAAATTGTATTGTTTATAAAAGTATAAAAATATATATTTTAAAATCTTTTAATCAAATAGATTTTAAATATATTTATAGAAATTTGACAAAGCAGTTAAATGGCATAAATAATTTGAGAACTTGAAGACTAATTTGCTATTAAATCACCTTAAATTATGAAAAAATAATTAAATTGATAAAATAAAATTGTATGCCTTATATATATTAAATAATAACTTATTTTTATTACTTAATAATACCATGGATTTTTTTTCTTTCTTCCATGAATATAACATTGTTCTACACAATTTAGTCTGATGATTATTCCGAGTTTATTCTAATAGACAGTACAACATAACATGTTCTTGTTCACTTTCACTCATGATAAACACTGACGTTTGGTTCTTGATCAAAATTATCGGTGAATGATTTTCTTTTTCCTTTAAGACTACCATCTTCTTCATAAGTTGAAGCATTTGATCTCGATTCGAAATACTCGGCAAATGATGACGACTTCTTTCGATTCAGATTAGAGTCATTGCCGTAAGCCGAAACATTTGGTCTCGGTTCAGAATCCTCGTCAAAGGACGACGATTTCTTTACTTTTAGATTCTTGTCGTCCCCGTAAACCCAAAATGTAGCACTGATAATTTGGATTGGGTTGTATTAATATAATTTGCTTACCAGGAGAAGCGACAGAAATGCAAAGAATGGAAGTAATAGTTTCATGATTTATTAATGCAATAAACAACTCCTCTTATGGAGTTGATAAACAATTTTCCATTCTATATATAGAAAAAATAATGATTTTTTAAATATTTTACTCACATCATGATTTGTATAGGAATTATTTTTGAATAAACTATAGAAATGGTCACTTTAATTTCATAGGTTTTCACTTTTGCTTATTGAATTTAGAAAAAGTAATATTTTTGTCACTTACATTATCAGTTTATAACTATTTGGTCACTTACGTTATCGATATATAACAATTTGGTCCCTGAGATGTTAAACGTGGTTAGTTTGAAAGTGTGGCTTGTTAATAAAAAGGGGTTAATTTTTAATTTGACCCAAACTAGATAAAATACTAATTTAACCCCTAAATTTAAGATAAATTATCAATTTAACTCTTAAAATATAGATAAAATATCAATTTAAGCTAAGAATCTAATAAAAGTTGACATCGATAGCTGCTCACCACAATAGCCTGCCTATCGTTATTGTCGACGACCATTAGATCCAAAATTTCTAATTCACTCTTTTTGACCTATAAACCCGAATATAATATTTGTTTCCTCGAAAAATATCTTGAAAATATCCGTTTTCCTCGAAACCCTTGGCCTCAATTATTCTTTGTTTTGTATTATTTTTTTGTCGCCTTTACACAGATTATGCCCATCTAGAATTATTGTTGAATTTAAATATAAATATGAGACCATGTATAGGTGGAAAGATAACGCCCAGGCTCAATCAAGATATGCATTTTGGCGTTTTCACACATTCAAAAACGTTTCAACAATACATCAGTTCAAGCATAACATCAAACATCAAACTATTTCTCTATCAAAGATTAGGACTGATTCAAAATTAATTAATAGAAATAAAATAAAGTTTAATTGTATCGCACAGTAATCAGTGTTTTAAAAATAATATCGTTTAATCTTCGAAATTAATACTTTTTCTTTAATATCTTCTAAAATTTGGTACACTCAAAATCTGAAATGGAAATCGATCGTATTATTCTTCTCAGAACTTTGAAGAAAGTGAAAAATTTAAAACTTTTCTAATTTTCTCTAAAAACATTATATTCTTATTGTACATGTTGGAGATACATAATTATAACGTAACACATATTAACCGACGATGTCATTGGCGTGTCAGAATATCATATTCACCAATATTTAACAAAAAAAAAAGTAAAGTACACAAATGATCATCTGATTATAAGACATTGTTTTGTTGAGTTCATCGACTATTAAAAGTTATAAACTTATTATTTTTCGTTAAAAAAAATTAAGGGACGTCTGAGCTGGACGTCAACCTATTGGTTGAGATATGATAAGATCATATTTTAATTATGTGTACTGACATTGTCGTTGTTTGCAAGCATTAACTCGATGGCATAATGTTTCAAACACGGACTCAATGATATAATGCAAATGGAGAGTTGATTCACAAAATACAACTCAAACGATTTTGAGATCATATTTTATCATATCTCAATTAACAAGTTAACGTACAACTTAGACGTCCACCAATTTTTATGAAAAAGAACGAGTTTGAACATATCACATATGAATAATGAGGTGACCATTTTATAAATTTTAATAGTCAAAAAATTTAATAAAATAACATTTTGTAATTGAAAGATCATTTTATAATTTTTACTTAAAGGTATAATCATCATCACTCACACTCTACTCTTCAATGACAGAAGGTATAATCATCCCACTGTCGGTGAGGGAGATGGTCTGTGGAAAGATAAGGTCCCAGGCTCAATCAGGATATGTATTTCGGCTTTGATCATTGATATTTTCCGCCATGATTGATTCAATATTTTATAAAATGATTTATAATTGATGTATCGATAGTGTATATATTTTATATAAGATCTTGTAGTTGGCTTTGTACTAGCAAAAAAAAAAAAATTATATACGATCTTTGTATAAATTAATAGGGTAAAGTATACAAACAATCCTCTGATTATATAATACTATTTTATTGAGTCCATCGGTTATTAAAAATTATAAAATAATCTCCCGAGTATAGGACGTTGCTTTGTTGAGTCTCTGATTACTAAAAATTATAAAATAGTCACTCGACTTTTTATATATTCCAAACTTGTTCTTTTTCGTTAAAAAATTAACCGCAATTTGAGTTGAACATTAACCTGCCGATTGAGATATGATAAAATATAATCTCAAAATCTTAAATGACTATCATATCAACATGTTAAAGTCTAACTTAGACGACGATCAATTTTTTTAAAAGAAAATGAATAGTTTTAAAATATATGAATAGTCTAGTGAACATTTTATAATTTTTAATAGTCGAGAGATTGAACAAAACAACAGTCAATAGTTAGACAATTATGTAGCTTTTGTAGTCGAGGACTAAAAAAAGTAATATCCTATAGCCGGATCATTCGTGTACTTTACCGATATTTATAACTATTTCCTCTTTATAAATTGAGAAGATATATTATATATAGCTTAAAGTGGAAGAAATTTTTATACAAAAATGGGCATGAAATATGCATCTTTCAACATTCTTCTCCTCCTCCTACTGGTCATGGTAATATCGCCAAACTCTCCAAATTCAAATTTTAATTTTCTTATCAGAGCTTAATCGATACATGAAAATTTGTAGGCTATAAGATCTTTTGATGTTTAGAACTTAGTTACAGGATTAAACCTTTTTGCAGTATGCGGATGGAAGGGTAGATTCATTATCTCACATGGATCAATCAGTGATGGTGTTTTTCACCTTGAAAGATCTTGAAGTCGGGAACTCGATGTCCATATATTTTCGAAAGAAAGACTCATCGACATCGCCTCGATTTTTGCCTCGGGACGAAGCAGAAGCCATTCCTTTCTCATTAACAGAACTCCCTAATCTGCTTCGGTTCTTTTCTTTCTCGGAAGACTCTCCCCAGGCCAAAGCAATGGAAGCTACACTTCGAGAATGCGAAACTCCGGCAATCAAAGGGGAGATCAAATTCTGCGCTACGTCGATAGGATCGATGCTTGATTTTGCTATAAGTATCATCGGATTGAACTCTGATATCAAGATCTTCGCAACCGAACATCATACGAAGTCGAGCACCCTTTTCCAAAACTATACGATACTAAAAGAACCAGACGAGGTACTGGCTTCGAGGATGGTGGCTTGTCACACGATGCCCTACCCTTATGCTATACTGTATTGCCATACCCAAGAGACTGAAAACAAAGTGTTCAAGGTATCATTGGGTGGTGATAACGGAGATCGGGTGACGGCAGTGGCCGTTTGTCATATGGATACTTCGCAATGGAAACACGACCATGTGTCGTTCCGTGTGCTGGGGATCGAGCCTGGAATGCCCGGTGTTTGCCATTTCTTCCCGGCAGACAATTTTATTCTAGTCCCGGAATATTGAATTTGTATTAAGTGTCTTTTTCATGATACTCAGCCCCAAGACCTAGGTTAACTTGAGTCCCAAAACTCACAGAATAAATGTTACGATGCAATATATATTGCATTGTAACATTCAGTGCGTCAGTGTTATAAAAATATTTTATGTTCAATTCGAAGTTTACATTTACATAAAGCAAATTTGATATTTTTTTTCCAAATTATTTGAGAATCCATTTTAATTTCTGCTATTAATAGGATTCATAGAACATTTCATAGGGAAACACACACCTTTTACAATAGCATAGACATTCTAAGCACACATAAGCATCATGTTGTAATTATATTACCATCTCATTCGTGTGCTTTCTATAAAGCACATATGAGAGTATTCTTACAACATCATTGCCACCATAAGATGTTATACTCGGTATCAGTTCAAAATACTAGTGAATGATTTCTTACAGTAAGAAGTGATGCTCGGTATGGGTTCAAAATCACCTGTGAATGATTTCTGGCCATAAGAAGTGGTTCTCAGTCTTGGTTCAAAATCGCTAGGAAAAGTTTTCTTCACTCCTTTAAGATCAACATCATTGCAGCCAAAATAGGTGGTGCTCAGTCTCGGTTCAAAATCACTAGTGAATGATTTCTTACCATAAGACGTGATGCTCGGTCTCGGTTCAAATTCACTAGTGAATGTTTTCTTCACTCCTTCAAGATCAACATCATTGCCACCATAAGAAGTTGTGCTTGGTCTCGGCTCAAAATTACTAGTGAATGATTTCTGACCATAAGATGTGATGTTCAGTCTCGGTTCAAATTCACTAGTGATTGATTTCTTCACTCCTGGTACTCGATCTCAGTTCAAAATCACTAGTGAATGATTTCTGGCAATAAGAAGTGGTGCTCGGTCTCGGTTCAAAATCACTTGAAAAAGTTTTCTTCACTCCTTTAAGATCAACATCTTTTCCACCATAAGAAGTGGTGCTTGGTCTCAATTCGAAATCACTACTCAATGATTTCTTACCATAAGACGTGATGCTCGGTCTCGGTTCAAATTCACTAGAGAATGTTTTCTTCACTCCTTCATGATCAACATCATTTCCTCCATAAGAAGTGGTGCTTAGTCTCGGCTCAAAATCACTAGTGAATGATTTCTGGCCATAAGACGTGATGCTCGACCTCGGTTCAAATTCACTAGTGATTGATTTCTTCACTTCTTTAAGATCAACATCATTGCCGCCATAAGCTGTGTTATTTGGCCTCGGATCGAAATCACTAGTGAATGATTTCTGGCCATAAGAAGCGGTGCTCGATCTTTTTTTCAAAATCACTAGTAAAAGATTTCTTCACTCCTTTAACATCAACATCATTGCTACTGTAAAAAGTAGTGCTCGGTCTCGGTTCGAAATCACTAGTGAATGATTTCTTACCATAAGATGTGATGTTCGGTCTCAGTTCAAATTCATTAGTGAATGTTTTCTTCACTCCTTTATGATCAACATCATTGCCACCATAAGAAGTGGTGCTTGGTCTAGACTCAAAACCACTTGTGAATGATTTCTGACTATAAGACGTGATGCTCGGTCTTGATTCAAATTCACTAGTGATTGATTTATTGTTGCCATAAGAAGTGGTGCTTGGTCTCACTTCGAAATCACTAGTGAATGATTTCTTGCCATAAGATGTGATGCTCGGTCTTGGTTCAAATTCACTAGTGAATGTTTTGTTCACTTTTTTAAGATCAACATCATTGCCACCAAAAGAAGTAGTGATTAGTTCCGACTCAAAATCACTAGTGAATGATTTCTAACCATAAGACGTGATGCTCGGTCTTGGTTCAAATTCACTAGTGATTGATTTCTTCACTCGTTTAAGATCAACATCATTGCCGTCACAAGCTGTGGTACTCGATCTCTGTTCAAAATCACTAGTGAATGATTTCCGCTCTCTTTTAAGACTAGCATCATCTTTATCGTAAGACTTGATGCTCGGTCTGAGTTCAAAATCCCCAACAGTTATCGTCTCTTCCTCGAGCCGAACAAGGCCTTGGAATGCTTCAGGCATAGGCTGATCTTTCATTACATATCTCCAATATTCTCCAGCATCTTACCTAGCTGCTGCAATGGTGTCAGCTGCAAACTCCATCCATATAACATATACAATTAGCAATATATATATATATATAAAAGAAAGCGTGAAGAATTATTTTAAATTAATATATAAAATTATCTTACTAGGAGAAGTGACAGGAATGCTAAGAAAGAAAGGAAAGCTTTCATGGTTGCAGACAACTCTTATGGAATAAACTCCTATAATTCTTATGGAGTCAATAAGCAATGATCTTTCTATATATAGAGAAGAATTGATGAATATTTTTAGAATTTTTGCAACATTTTGATTTGTGAGTGATTATTTTATGAAGGCAAATCCCACTCTATCGCTAGAAGAATTAAAATAATAGAAAATGGAAGATAAAAAGTTAAACCAATTCATTTTTTCAATTTATAAAGAAACGAAAATCGTTAAAGATGATGTTATGATTGTCTAATAGGCTGGATTTTAATAAATTGATTTTTTTATATTATGGATAATAATAAAATAATATTTGTTTATAATTTGTTTTAATCATTGATAATGTATATATACAATGTTGTCGTAACCGTTTTTCGGCAGGGACAATCGTTTAATTGTTTTAAAAGCAGTTACGACTTTTAATTTTAGAAAATTTGGTGATTTTGAATTAAATTGGATAGAGTCGCCATCGACATTTAGGTTAGGTAGGTCGAATACCTAAAATCGTCTTTTAAAAACAATTTTAAGAAAAATCATTTTTTAAGACAAAAGCTGGTATGTTTTTACCAAAGATTCATTTAAAACGGGTTCGGGAGTCGGTTATATGTGAGGAAGGGTTAGCACCCCCACAATACCCTAAATTGGTACCTAGTCGATTAATTAATGTTTTTACAATGAAATTTACAAATTCGAATTTAATTTGATTTTTGATCCTATAAAACAATAAAAACATGAATTAAAAAAATAATAAAAATACCAAAGTAGTACAAATAAAAATTTAGTCATAACATTTAATGCTTTTATACAAAACATAGATATAATAATATTATATATATATTATCAAAGTCATTTTAACACACATAATTAGTGTATTACACGTGATACAATACATAAAAAGACACCATTTATACAACAAGCATTTATATATAAATATATTAACTTAATGAGCATAAACAATATTTTTTATATAAAATAATCTATTCTCCCTAAAACATGTGAACATACACTAGCTCCAAAACGTGGTTTACTTAATCTTTTGACAATTTAGTGAATAATTTATAAACTATGTTTATTGGATTTAATAAAGAAAAGATTCCCTTTATGCTATATCAATTAATAAACATAAATATACTATTAATATTATTTACTTAAAGTTTAAAATAACATTTTAATAAAAATAGATAGTTAAAATATGAAAATAGTAAAAATAAAAAATTAAGGAAATTAAATAATAAAATTATATATTTAAAAATTTAAAATAGAAAAATAAAACTTTAATGATTAAAATAAAAAATAGAAATTTAAAGAAATAAATAGTAAAATAAAAATGAACTAAATTCTTAAAATTAAAAATACTAAATAATATAAGTATTTAAAAATGAAAATAATCCAAAAAATAAAACATATAAACGTGAGGGTTGAATCATGATGAATCAAAATATAAAATAAGGATTAAAACGACAAATTTATAAACATCATATCCAAAATAAAATAATATTAAAAATACAAAAATACATGAATCGGTGACTAATATGCAATATATATAAATATTATGCCCAAAGTCGAGTATTAGCAGAAATTATATAACATATAAAATGGGACCAAAACGTTACATAAATTAAAATAGTAAGTCAAATTAAAATAAAATTAAAGTTATATTAATGTTCATAATAGAAAATTACAAACTAACAATGACCCCATTTGTGAATGTCTCATGCGTGAAATTACCAACTACCCTTGATAAAACTACGTCGTTTTATACATTGTATTTAAGCCCCAAAACGGGCTATTAGTCTCATTCTTCCCTCATTTTATCATCTCACTTAAACAAAAGAGAGAGAGGGTTCCAGAGAACTCTCTCAACTCTCTTAAGCACAGAAAGGGCTCCCACAGTGGCCGGAGGCTCCCACGGCGGAGTAAATGGCGGCACACGACCGTCGAAAAAATAAAACCAACCCCAAATCATTTTATTTCTTCCCTACAACCCAAATCACTAAGTAGTTTCATCTAAAATCAACCCTATAAGCATAGATCTAGAAATTACCTTTGAAGAAATGGTGACTTTAGAGCTTCCATTACCGGCGTTAAAGCTTCTCGATCACTTTGAACTCCACTGTAAGTTTCTATCCTCCAAATATTTTTTAGTATTTTTCTTTTTTTTCTTTGTTCGAATCTTTGCATGTATTTATAGCAAACGTTGGTTGCTGGTAATGGTTGCTCCACTGGTGTCCGAATGGTGGGTAGAGCATAATACCAAATTTTTGAGATTTTATTTGATTAAAATTATATTCAGTGGATTTGGTGGTGGATGGCTGATTTAGATGATAATATTTCTTTATTTTGTGTTGTTTGACGCATGCAATGATGCTAGTGGCTTTGTTGATGACTCGACGGTGCTCGGCCAGAGTGTGTGGCGTCGGTTCTCACTATTTACGGCGGCTTGTGTAACTGGCGGCGGAAACTTCTTCTTTAGGGTTAAAAAACCCTAATCTTGAGTAATCTTGGACCAGTGGATCAAATCTGATCCAACGGTTGGCATCCCAAGTGGCTGGCGGCTAAGGTGGAAAAAACCTAACGGGTTTGGGCAATCATTGGGCTTGATCCAATTTGTTGTGTTGGTTTTGTATTTGATTTGTAATTGAGCTTAACCTGAAAAATAATGTAATATTATTATTATTAATAATAACAACAATACTTATAATAATAATAATCAAAATAATTATAAATATAATGTTTTTAAAGTCTGGATAAAAAATGGATGTCTACAGCTGCCCTTCTTTGTACATTCTTGTGTTAACAAGAATAGGGCAAAGATGAAAAAGACAACCAGTTTTTGTCCAGTATTCCTTCGTTATTTGATTGAACAAGTTCTTCTCATTATGAACTTCTTCTCTCCTGTGGATGAGTTCTTCTCATTATGAACTCTTCACTGGAAACAATGATGCAAATATTTTACAAAATATTTATCTTGTTCATGAAATGTATTATTAAGGGGGAGTTTTGTCAAAAACCATTTTTCAAATGTTTTGTTATATCAAAAATGGGAAGATTGTTGAACCTATTTTGATATAACTATAGAAACTAGGTGTTTGAATTAAATTCTCAATGGTGAGTATTTTGTATTTCTTTTCAATTTATTTTTATTGATAAGAATGGTGTCTATTTATAGATTACAAAGAGAATCTAATCTAGGATACTATACACAAAATTAGTAAATCAACATCTAAATTATTGTAAAATCCTTAAATATCAACAACTATAAATTAGGGAATTATATTCCTAAACTCCCACAATCTTTTCCAATTTACATCTTATAATGTACCAATTTACAACCTAATTACGCTCCCCCTCAAGCTGGTGAGTATATGTTGTAGAGTCCCATCTTATATGTAATTTCATCAAAGGTAACTTTTGGAAAGACCTTAGTGAGAACATCAGCTAGTTGGTCTTTAGTAGAGACAAACTTGAGTTCAACAACTCCATTGTTCACATTCTCAGAGATGAAGTGTCTATCTATCTCAACATGTTTAGTTTTGTCATGATACACATGGTTTTTAGCTATAAAAATGGTTAGTTCACTATCAGTCTATTGCTCAAATTGTTTGGAACCACAAAGTCCCAATTCTGTTAGGAGTCTTTATAGTCACATTCCTTCATAGACTCCTAGTCTAAGTGCCCTGCATTTTGCCTTAGTACTACTGGCTACAACTGGTTGCTTTTTTCTTGTATAGGTTACAAAGTTTCCCCACACAAATAAGTAATAACCACTTGTTGACCTCTTATTTGTTGTTTCCACTTTCCAGTTTGAATCAGTGAAAACTTTAATTGTTTTGTCTTAATTTTCTTGAAATATAAACCATGTCAAGAGTAAACTTAAGGTATCTCAAGATTTTGTTGACTACCTCAAGATGTTCCTCTCTAGGATTACACATGTGTTGACTTAAACGAGAAAGTTATGTAAGGTCTTGTAAGAGAAAAATAAATGAGTTTCCCAACTAACCTTTAATATTTCTCCTTGTTGACCATAATAGTATGTCTCTTCCTATTTCAACTCTAGGTTAGTTTTCATGGGAGTATATGTTTGTTTGTACCCTAGAATTATAGTTTCTGAGAGTAAATCAATGATATATTTCCTTTGATTAATTTCTTAACAAGCTTTTGATCTAGCTACTTTAATACCTAAAAATATTTAAGGTTGCCATCTTTTGTCTCAAACATACCAGCTAGTGGCTTTTTTAAGTTTTGTATTTCATCATTAATGTCATTTTTAGTAACTATAATTTCATCAACATAAACAATTAAAATAGCTCTCTTGCCACTTGGTGTTACCTTTACAAGCAAGGTGTGATCTATTTGGCATTGTTTATAGCTATTTTTTATAATGACTTTTGTAAATCTGTCAAACTCTACCCTTAGGGATTGCTTTAAACCATATAGAGACTTCTTCAATTTGTAAACCCTCTGACCATTTGATTTTTCTTCCATTCCCTATGGCACTTGCATGTTCACCTATTCTTCAAGAATTCCATTTAAGAAGGCATTCTTGATATCCAATTGATGAAGTATCCAGTCTTTATTTACTACTAATGGCAATAAAACCCTTATTGTATTTAGCTTGGCAACTAGAGAGAAAATCTCTTGGTAGTTTATCCCATAGGATTGTGTGAATCCTTTA